AAATAAAATCTTAAAAAAAAAAAAAAAAAGAAACAGCTACGTGTTTCCACAGAAGAAAATTACTCCCTGTGTTGAATTTATTGAAAGATAAACTCTGGTCTTTGACATGTCATCCTTTCAAGGAATTTTTTTTCTTTTCTTTTCTTTTTAAGAGTTATTAATTTATTTTAGAGAAGGGGGTGGAGATCTCAAGCAGACTTCCTGCTCAGGGTGGAGCCTGACACGGGGCCAAATCCCAGGACCCTGAGATCATGGTCTGAGCTGAAATCAGGAGTCGGCCACCTACCCACTGAACCACCCAGGCACCCTTCAAGGAACTGTCAAGAGTAATTTTAACTATACAATAGTCACCCCCTTATCCACAGGGGATACACTCCCAGACCCCCAGTGGATATCTGAAACCGTAGATAGTACAAAAACCCTACATACTATGTTTTTTCCTATATATACATACCCATGATAAAGTTTAATTTGTAAATTAGGCATAGTAAGAGATTAAAAATAATAATAAAATAGACAACTTAACAAAGTACTGTAATAAAAGTTATGTGAATGTTGTCTTTCTCTAAAAATACCTTATTGTCCTGTACTCACCATTCTTCATACGACGATATGAGATGAGAAAATGCCCCCGTGAGGAAATGCAGTGAGGGGAATGATGTAGGCGTTGTGACCTAGTGTTAGGCTACTATGGACCTCCTGACGATTTGTCAGGAGGAGGATCATCTGCTCCCAGACCACGGGTAACTGAAACCGTGGAAAGTGAACCCGCAGGTAAGGGGGGACTACAATTAGAACCACCCCAGTTATAAGATGTGATAAGATGTTCTTCATCTGGATGTGGGGGTTGAATAAATCAATATAGTACCAAAGATCAATCATGGGCCAGTATCCTAAATAACAACGAGTATTCACTCAGTAAGACCTTTCTGGGGTACCAATCAATTTCCGGGAAGCAACTAAAATGTGCATTAATAGGGTTAATAGCTTAGAGTTCATTTTAAGCAGAGTTTAGACTACTTTAAAAGGAGTATACTTGAACAGGTGGAGCCCAAGGGATTTGGGGGCAGTGCACCTATTCTGAATAATACTGTAATGACATACATAACATTATGCATTTGTCAAAATTTATAAACTTGTACAACACGGACTGAATCCTAACTTAACTACG